AGAAAAATCAACTATCAAAATAAACTTTTCTCAGCCCAAATACGACCCCCCCTCCTGGCGACCAAATACGACCCCTCCCCCCTATTGGGGATTCCCCAACAACGATGTGCCCTGAGCTATTAGTTTCAAGTATTATTGCGCTCATGAAGCAGAAAAAAATTAGGAAAAAACCGGAAAAGATTGTCGCGTCAGGGAAATGTTCCCGCTAAGGCCAACGACCCTCCAGGCGAACAAATACGACGCCTCCCTCTGATGATATTCTGCTAGAAACGTTGTACCCTGATCCATATTCGGAACCACAATGGAAACTTATTTGGTGGGACATGACAAGACCAGTCCAAAATGAGCTGCTGAGCGCAGGCGAGACTCTCGTAAAATAACGTTCAGAAATGTCAGAGGTGTATATGCGACCCTCCAAGGACGGATCAAGTATTGCTCACCTTCGGACAATTGCAAAAAACCCACAGTACTCAGCTGGCGTCCGGTTGCTTGCCCACAATATTCTCCAAGCCTTGTATCTTCTGACTACTACATAGCTGCTCCGGTCGCTAAACCATGACGAGGAGAATTTTAAATTTTACGATGACATCGAAATGGCAGTCAATGACTTCTGTGAGTCACACCGTCCTGAATTCAGCTCTTACGCCAAGAAATGCGTGGTTGTCTCCAGGCAGGGTGTGTAATGTGGTCTAGTGTAGTATATACCATTTTCACTTTAAATCGGACACTTTTCAAACCAAATCGGACACTTTTCAAACCAAATCGGACACTTTTCAAATCAAATCGGACACTTTTCAAACCAAATCGGACACTTTTCAAACCAAATCGGACACTTTTCAAACCAAATCGGACACCAAACCAAATCGGACACTTTTCAAATCAAATCGGACACACCCCTTACAATTAGGTGGTTGATAACTAGACCACACTAGGTACTGTTGCAAGCCCCGCCCCATTATCCCCGCCCACTTCTCAGCGCAGGGTTTTCCGAGATGCTTCATGAAATCTGCTCCTCGACTTTTTTTCGTTTTTGCCCTTTGCACACACACA